TTCACATCCTTAATGAAGGCATCGACTGCATTTATATTGTGTTAAGCACAAAACCGCATATTCCAGATTATAGTGTCTAGTAAAATATCACTAGTGCCTCACACAAATGTATGTGTGAGATATAAAATATGTTATATAACTTATTACTGAGTGGTTAAGGTGTTTTTCACTTTAAAATAATGGTCCAGATCACTAGTAGTTTTTGCAGGCTGACAAGGTAATGCTTGAGTAATTAGTGAGAGGCTAATGTATTTTTCAATTTAAAGCTAAAGTGCTACTAGGGAACTACTAATGATCTGGACCATTATTTTAAAGTGAAAAACACGTTAACTCCTCAGTAATTACTCACAAGTAAATTAATAAGTTATTTAACATATTTTATATCTGACATACTGTACAGTCATACATTTGTGTGAAGCACTAGTGATATTTTACCAGTAGGTCTTTTGGAGTGGGATACATTGATACTGAACTGACACGAAGCAGAGATCATAATTGTGAACTAATTCAATCATGAGCTTGTCAGCATCACTTCTTAATTATTAACATTTTTAAGTGAATTTTTATTATTATTCTATGTTTAAGTTTGAACATCCATCCTTTGGTAAGAGTAGTAGTCACAATTTTAAAATGTAGCCGACTTATTTGGGGGATATCAAATTCCTAAATTAGTTTCCACAAATTACCACAAAGAACCCAATTGTTCACTTTTAAGACGTTACTGTTGTGATTAGTAATTAATTGGTTATTCTTTATTAACTGGTCATAGTTCACAAGTAGTTCTCATTGAGGATATTTTTATTTAATAATGATCAAATATCTAATAAGGAACTAACTTTGTCCTAAATTTGCTACTACTTACTGCTTAGTTAATCTTGCTTCTCTATTAGTTAATAGTATTAAGTTAAGTGTTAATGTAGTACAACCTATTACTTCCTGCATAGTTACTTGTTAACAACGGACCATTATTCTAAAGTGTTACCACTTTGATTTAAAGAAAAAAAATAAAAATAAAAAATGTAAATCAGCCAAAAAGACAAAGTTCCCAGACACTGTATTCAACTGCTTTGTTTAGAGAAATACCTACAATTACATGAAGCACTATGAATGACATAATTAATTAAAAACATAAATATATATAACATTATTGATTATGTATATAGAAAGGCTTACAGTAACACAGTTACACAGTAACAAAGGAATGAATGAAGCTAAGGACACAACGAACTTATTGCTAGCTGATATAATCAAATTAGCCTATATATTTAGTAAATAAACTCACAAGGAGCGAATAAAATTTATCATATACATATGCGATTAACAAAGAATAAGTGATAAGTTGATGTTTGGCTTGTAAATCAAAACTTTGTCTGTCTGTGCTTATGGTGTCTATATTTTTTATGTTACCATGAGAGTGAATTGAACAACCATTTTTCAAGAAATGCAGAGCTTGCATATGTATACATAGCATTGAGTTCAGTGTTCCTTCTCGGTGCTGGTGAGATAAGACTGTCTCTTTGTCCCTCCCTCCACAGTCAAACAGCCCCCCACCATTGTGAAGCAGTCACTAAAGGACTACATTGTGGACCCCAGAGATAACATCATCATTGAATGCGAGGCCAAGGGGACTCCAGTGCCAACGTGAGAATGGATGAAACCTTTTTGTCTTTGTGCCATCTCGTCCTGCTCGTCCTTTTTGTCATCTCTCACCACTTTTACATTTCCAGTTTGTCAGCAACCTCCTACTGTATACGTCCACTTTCAAATCACTCTCTCATTCTTCCTCTTCTGTTGCTGTCTAATTAAACCTGACGTCCATTAGTCTCGGCATGATAAAGACCAGCACATTTTTGTGAGAGTGACTCCCAATGCCCCAACCTGACAGTGGCACTGCCAACTTTGTCCACCCTCCCTCCCTCTTGTACCCTTCTCATGTCCCTTGTTCTTGTTTGTGAAAAGCAGGTTTGACCAGCTCAACACAGTGTGGCCATTCAGAGTACCTGTTTTTGTTTGGTGGTCTGTTGGGCTTTACAAAACCTTCCACTCAGGCCGGTCCGCAAAACCATTGTGGTATAATAATACGCTTAGTTTAGTGTTCACGCTCACAGAATATTCAGTAGGTTAGTAGATTGCACTTTTTAGTCGCAATAAGAAAGAGGTAGCGACAGATTTTTTTCTTTAAATTCGGACATGCATCCAAATTAATCGGATTATTGAGAGAAAAAAAATCAGGATGAGGACTTTTAAAGAGAAAGGATGGGCTTATTAGGACAAAATGATTGGAGAAGTCCACCACAAGTCACCAGAGAGAAGTATGTCATTTCAACGGGAGATCAAAAGTCAACGTGCTGATCCCGATGAAATGTTCAAAATTAGATCAGTAACATGCATGCATTTCATTGATTTTGAAAATAGCTGAATTTCCATCTCATGCCATCTTTGGTTTGGTATTCATGTCTGTGTTGTTATCAGTTTGATGTGTGTGTAAATCCCCTTATTAAAAAGCCCCAACAAAGACCTATTACATAAACAGCATCAAGTTGACTCACGTTCTATTTGTAACTGGTTTGTGCAGGTTTCAGTGGCGGAGGAATGGGAAGTTCTTTAACGTGGGGAAGGACCCACGGGTGACCATGCGGAGTCGTTCCGGAACACTGGAGATCAGAAGCAGCGGGAAACCGGAAGATTATGAAGGAGAGTACCAGTGCTTCGCCTCCAATGACTTTGGCACGGCGATTTCCAACAAAATCCTACTACGAGTGTCAAGTGAGGGATGGTTTACTGTAATATCAAAGAAAGCAAAACATACACACAACATGCTAATTGTCTGTAAAGAAATAGTTGACCAAAAATGTAAATTCTTTCATCATTCACTCAACATCATGTTGTTATGTTACTCATATGTTATGTTACCCATATGACTTTCGTTCTTCTGTGGAGATGTGATTTTATCATTAAAACAGATGAAAGTATCATAAAAGTAGTTCATGTGACTTACACTACAGTATATTTTAAGTCTTCTGAAGTCATACGATATTACCAAAGGTGTTTTAGAGCCGCATAAAAAATAATAGTCACAATATTTTTTTTTAAATAATGTCAAAATTATTATAATAAAGTCATAGCATTGAGAGATTAAAGTTGTAATATTTTACAAAGTAGTAGCAATACGAGAATAAAGTCATTGAATCTTCAGTCTAAAATTTAAGCTTGTTCCTTATACAAAATTTCAGTATGCTTTTAGAAAACTTGTGATATGGTGTCATATGGACTACTTTATGATATATTTATGGAGCTTTATTATAGTTTTGGTTCCAAAAAAGAAAAGGAAGAAAGTCATACAGGTTTGAAACAACATCAAAGTGACATTTTTGAGTGACCTATCCCTTTAAAAGTCAAATGCATACAGAAAGCATTATAAAAACAACATTATCTCTCATAGATTGAATTATGTTATATTCCCTAATCTGGTAACCTTGTCTCCACTGCTCAGAATCTCCGCTGTGGCCGAAGGAGGTTCTGGAGCCAGTGGTTGTGCGTGAGGGGGAATCACTCGTCCTGCCCTGCAAACCTCCTCCTGGTCTCCCCCCTCCTGAAACCTTCTGGATGGACAGCTGTGAGTGTTGCTCATCACTTTCTGCGATTGATTGCATCTCATAACCTTAACCCTCTTCTCCATTGCTTTGTCATTTAGTCATCACCTACATCAGGGGTGCCCAACCCTGCTCCTGGCGATCGACTGTCCTGCAAAGTTCAGCTCCAACCCTAATCAAACACACCTGAAGCAACTAATTAGGGTCTTCAGGATCACTTAAAAATTAAAGGCAGGTGTCTTTGATTAGAGTTGGAGCTAAACTTTGCAGGACAGTCGATCGCCAGGAGCAGGGTTGGGCACCCCTGACCTACATGCTCTCTTTTACCTCTCCCTCTCACGTCCCCTTACTTTCTGTCTCTCTCTCAGTCATGCAGTCGGTGTCCTCTGCACAGCAATGTCCGTTACTGCATTAGTGCTGACCTAGTGCATGCATGCGAATCTGCACTACCTGACAAAAAGCTGAGAGAGCAGAAACAAGCATGGCACTGAGACATTTCAAAAGAGCCGGAATCACGCAGCATAGACACATGCTACAAAGCACTGATCAAACATCTCGACTTTGTTTGTCATCAGTACAGTCACAAACGGCTCTTTTAAAATGTGTCAGTGATAGTGAGAGGGCTTAAATATGGATCATAAAGCTTGAATTCCCACTACTTTCGTAGTATGTACACATTTCGATGAAGAGGACATTTGAACTTCCTTGAACACTCCCTTCCATGTTCATTGGTCAGAAATGAACACTTTTGTATGAAAAAACATGTTTGGTAAATCATAAAATAGACATAAAATGTAATGATTATGACTTTTTATGTCATATTTTTGACTTTTTAGCATATTTTCAACATTTTGCCACATTTTGAACTTATAGTTATGACTAGTGACTTTTTATCTAAGAATTTTGCCTTCCATAAATGTTAGGCAACAAACAATTTTATACTGTAGTTATATTCACATAATAAGCCGTGTTAAGAGAAAAAGTCAATTAATAATTTCTAAGCCAGTTAATAAGTTCACTTTTAATAAATGTTTGGCAACAAACAAATAAATGTTTTGATAGCACCACAGTGTTTACATTATGAACTTATGCTGTATTTTATACTGTAGTTTGCATAAGAGAAATATTTTAATAGGCCAATTAATAAGTTGTTTTAAGCCAATTAGTAAGTTCACTTTTAATAAGTTTTTGTAATAATGAACCAGTATTAAAGTTGATAATTATTTGGCATATATTATGACCAATAACCTATAAAGGATGATTAAAATTATTACATTATATTAAAATTATTTCTATACTGTTTTGTCTAAATATATAAAAAATAAAACACTAAGAACTTAATTACTTAACATGCTACAACATTGTAAAAATGGATATTCATTCTTCGGATTTGCTAAAGTTTACATTTAACAATGCAATGAAATCATTAGTACTTTTTTCAAATATTAATAATTAGAGATATAATTAAAATAGGGGAAATGAGCATGCACAAGTACTCTAAATATAAATTTTCAACTGATATGATACATTTAAAAATCTCTATTATTTCATTATTAAATCCAGACTCATTGTTGATTAGTGCAGAACTGCTCTTTCCCTTGAGTGACACATTTACTGATCCTTGTGATGTTTCAGGCCAGAAGATGATAATCATGCTTCTGTGATTCCCACACTCATCTTGAGCATCATTTCTTCTACTGCCTGTCGGCTATTGCATGTCAAATTAAGTTGAACAAATTAGTCAGGATTCTCTTTTTTTCTCCACAGCCATTATGCCCATAATACAGGACAAGAGGGTGTCAATGGGCTTGAACGGTGACTTGTTCTTCTCCAATGTTCTGGCTAGAGATGCCAACACTGACTACAGCTGCAATGCTCGCTTCGAGTTCACACACACCATTCAACAGAAGAACCCCTTCACCCTTAAAGTGCTAGCAAGTGAGTGGTGATTTCTTCAGGATCACTTGATATCTTTAATTTGATGTAACTGATACGTTGCTGTGCTGCTGTCCAAGGTATATGTGAATGTCGTGGTCCATCTAGTGGTGAGAAGGTAGTATTGCCGGGGACATTTATCTGTGATAGTTGTCTTTTTGCACTTTAATTTGGAGGCTCTTTATTGATTACTATCACAGTTTCAATAAGAGGCTTGGAGGAATGTCCGTCTTCCATTTTCATCCAAAATTGTTCTCTTCTTCCCAGTTGTAATTGAGTGTATCTCTCTCTCAGTCATGCAGTCTGTGTCCTCTGCACAGCAATGTCCGTTACTGCATTAGTGCTGACCTAGTGCATGCATGCGAATCTGCACTACCTGACAAAAAGCTGAGAGAGCAGAAACAAGCATGGCACTGAGACATTTCAAAAGAGCCGGAATCACGCAGCATAGACACATGCTACAAAGCACTGATCAAACATCTCGACTTTGTTTGTCATCAGTACAGTCACAAACGGCTCTTTTAAAATGTGTCAGTGATAGTGAGAGGGCTTAAATATGGATCATAAAGCTTGAATTCCCACTACTTTCGTAGTATGTACACATTTCGATGAAGAGGACATTTGAACTTCCTTGAACACTCCCTTCCATGTTCATTGGTCAGAAATGAACACTTTTGTATGAAAAAACATGTTTGGTAAATCATAAAATAGACATAAAATGTAATGATTATGACTTTTTATGTCATATTTTTGACTTTTTAGCATATTTTCAACATTTTGCCACATTTTGAACTTATAGTTATGACTAGTGACTTTTTATCTAAGAATTTTGCCTTCCATAAATGTTAGGCAACAAACAATTTTATACTGTAGTTATATTCACATAATAAGCCGTGTTAAGAGAAAAAGTCAATTAATAATTTCTAAGCCAGTTAATAAGTTCACTTTTAATAAATGTTTGGCAACAAACAAATAAATGTTTTGATAGCACCACAGTGTTTACATTATGAACTTATGCTGTATTTTATACTGTAGTTTGCATAAGAGAAATATTTTAATAGGCCAATTAATAAGTTGTTTTAAGCCAATTAGTAAGTTCACTTTTAATAAGTTTTTGTAATAATGAACCAGTATTAAAGTTGATAATTATTTGGCATATATTATGACCAATAACCTATAAAGGATGATTAAAATTATTACATTATATTAAAATTATTTCTATACTGTTTTGTCTAAATATATAAAAAATAAAACACTAAGAACTTAATTACTTAACATGCTACAACATTGTAAAAATGGATATTCATTCTTCGGATTTGCTAAAGTTTACATTTAACAATGCAATGAAATCATTAGTACTTTTTTCAAATATTAATAATTAGAGATATAATTAAAATAGGGGAAATGAGCATGCACAAGTACTCTAAATATACATTTTCAACTGATATGATACATTTAAAAATCTCTATTATTTCATTATTAAATCCAGACTCATTGTTGATTAGTGCAGAACTGCTCTTTCCCTTGAGTGACACATTTACTGATCCTTGTGATGTTTCAGGCCAGAAGATGATAATCATGCTTCTGTGATTCCCACACTCATCTTGAGCATCATTTCTTCTACTGCCTGTCGGCTATTGCATGTCAAATTAAGTTGAACAAATTAGTCAGGATTCTCTTTTTTTCTCCACAGCCATTATGCCCATAATACAGGACAAGAGGGTGTCAATGGGCTTGAACGGTGACTTGTTCTTCTCCAATGTTCTGGCTAGAGATGCCAACACTGACTACAGCTGCAATGCTCGCTTCGAGTTCACACACACCATTCAACAGAAGAACCCCTTCACCCTTAAAGTGCTAGCAAGTGAGTGGTGATTTCTTCAGGATCACTTGATATCTTTAATTTGATGTAACTGATACGTTGCTGTGCTGCTGTCCAAGGTATATGTGAATGTCGTGGTCCATCTAGTGGTGAGAAGGTAGTATTACCGGGGACATTTATCTGTGATAGTTGTCTTTTTGCACTTTAATTTGGAGGCTCTTTATTGATTACTATCACAGTTTCAATAAGAGGCTTGGAGGAATGTCCGTCTTCCATTTTCATCCAAAATTGTTCTCTTCTTCCCAGTTGTAATTGAGTGTATTTGATTTTTTTTTCTGTATTCGTATGTTAATTCAACTGCCATTTATTCACAGAGGAACCTTATAATGACACGTTTCTCAGCTCCACTGATCTGTATGGTGGTGAGTTCCACACACAGCTAGCCTTTTATCTGTATGCTTCTGTAAAACAGCACTAACTGAATTAGCGCTGCTGTTTCTAACCACATACAGCAGAGGAAATGCAGAGATAGTGTGTCTGTTATATAATATACATTGTATAGAAAGATGTTCCACATAGTATTTATAGACTGTAGAACTTACCACTTAATGCTTAGGTTACTTACCATGATTTTTAATGCATCAGTCTAAGCAGTTTTGGGGTCAGCAAGATTCTATCATGGTTTGAAGAAACAGTATGCAAATTTCGATTGTAATTAATTATCTTAATCACATTGCTCATTATGGAGATATGGAAATGGTAGTAAGGAGATTAGGCAAGAGGCAAGAGGTGCTCATTAATATTTCAGCAACTTTGATCCAATGATAACCATGTGCAAATCCTCACGGATATGGCCTAAGGGTGGAACTGAGTATATGAAGAAAATAGGTAAAATTCAAACCTTGTGACAAACATATCTATATTTAACAAGAAATCAAATGGTTAAAAAAATATACATATTTTACATAAATCCCTCAAATATTTGTTTCAGAAATTTAAATTATATATTTATTTGTTTACTTGCTTACCATGATGTATAATTACTTAACTGTTTATATATTGAACATCTTTATTATTTAAATTCTATCTATCTATCTAATTTATTTATTTATTATTTATTTATTTATTTAAACAGGCAGAGTGATTTTGGGGTTTAATATGACCCAGACATGTTCTTGATGACTTTTTGAGATTCACCCAAATATCCATATGACGATATTGTCGGGATCAGGGTTCACTGACAGACATAAGCTTTTTTTTAAAAGTTATCTTGTCTCTTGAATCGTTTGTATGGTCTCCACCAGGGCATTGTGGGGTAGCACTGACAGGGAACTGGCACTGCTGTCACCACAGACACACGTGACAGTGGCGTGAAACATGTGTTCCTGGCAGCTTCATAGTCTAATCTCCCAGATGTTGTCCTCCCACTTAATGTCTCCAACAAAGGCTGTTGTCACTCCCTCTCCTAGAGCCCTGCTCGAGATGCTAATAACTGAGAGCTAATCTTACTGCTAGATATACATTACAATAGGGACTAATACTGCCATGCTCATCAAGTCTTCCTCAGGGAGAAGATTGTCTGTCTTCACATAACTAGGATTTTATGTCTAACCATCTGTCTGTCATTACAGTTATGATTCTTCTTTCATGCTTATGTTATTTATGTATTTATGTATCTATACAAAGATTTATTTTACATAAATAACATAAACATAGCATATCAATTTTACAGAAATAACCATTCAAAAAGTTTGAGGTCACTAATATTTTTTAAAGAACTAATGCTTTTATTCATTAAGGCTGCATCAAATGTGAGACATTTATTAAGTTAGGGCTTGGTGTTACAAAGTATTTCTATTTCAAATAAATGCTATTCTTCTGAATTTTGTATTCATCAAGAATCCTGAAATTTTTTTTTTATCTTGATCATGGTTTTAGCAAAACAATGTTTTTAACATTGATAATAATAAGAAATGTTTCTTGAGCACCAAATCAGTGCTCAAGAAAATCATTTAGAATGATTTCTGAAGAATCATGAGGCACTGAAGACTGGAGTAAATCAATCTTTGACATCACTGGAATAAATAAAATTTTTATTATATAAAAGTAGAAACTGATATTTGAAATTCTAATAATATTTCTAAACTGGTTATATATAACATGTAACCAGTGTTTTTAAGTCTTTTTTTTTGTTTTGTTAAAATAAATAGAGATATTACAAATGAAGTATTACCTTTAGAGATCAAATAAGCTAATTCTGACTTTGTCTCTCACATTTGCGAATGTATTTATATTGTGTGTGTAAATATATATATATAGAATTTGCAAGTTGGATATAACAGTGATTCATAACAGTGCAGTTTTAAGTAGCTCCTCAAATCAGTGTCTCTTTCTGTGCATGTTAACAATTTTCTCTTTTTTTTTTTGTCAATAGCACGTAATGTACCAGAAACCCAGCCCACCTTTCTGTCTCCAAAGGGCTTGTCCAGCTCCAAAATAGTGCTTCGAGGGGAACAGCTTCTTCTGGAGTGTATAGCAGCTGGAGTGTAAGTGTTATTTAGTGCAATTTATATAATGCTATAGCAATTATTAGTATAGAATTAGCTTTTATTTTTATATTTTCAGTTTTCATTTTAACTTAATTATACATTTTAGTATTTTACATTTGTGCTTTCCTCATTTAATTCGTTTTTTTTTTCCGTTTTAGATATTTATATTTAGCTTTATTTTTATTTTTTGTATTCAGTTTTAGTCATTTTAGTGCTTCAAATTTATTTCAATTACCGAAAACTATTTTTAATAGTTTGTTAAAATGCCCCTGCAGTCACTAATTTAATCCCTTAAAACTCATCTTTGATAATCAAAATGACATATTTAAATGTTTGTCCCCATGAAAATAATTTCTTTATGTAATGGCTTGAATACTTCCTTTAATATACACAGACTCATGAATATGCTAACTAGTCCTCCACTCAATTGCACAAGCTCAGACCTGCTCCACTTTCACTCAGTTAACTGATAGTAATAATATAATAATAATATGAAAAGCATCGCCCGGCACGTTGACCGGATTGGTTAAATGTTTATGACGGTAGGAAATTGGGCAGTTTCAAACCACGTTTGTCTTTTAGTACGCCACAGTTTTAAGGAGAAAATGCTCAGGATTGGTGTCAATTGATGAATTTGCACATGGTAAACCTAATTTTCACCACAGGGGGTCTTTAACAATAACAACACTGGGGTATACAGCATATTCAGTTACCAAAAGCTCTATATACATCAGTTTAAGTATTAGTTATTAGATTTCTCAATTACAATTAAGTGTTGTTCTGTTCTTTTTTGATGTTCTTTTTCATTTTTCCAGCCCATCTCCTAACATTGATTGGATTAAAAAAGGAGCAGACCTCCCATCGAAAAAAGTCAAGATTGAGAACTTCGGTAAAACTTTACGCCTCCTCAATGTGTCTGAGGAGGACTCTGGTGACTACGTCTGCATGGCCAGCAACAAAATAGGCAGCATTCGCCATTCCATTGAAGTCCAGGTCAAAGGTGAGCCATAGAGAAAAGACAGTTGCTGGATCTTGTTCATGAGATATATGCTGTTTCTTTTTCATTTTAAGATTTCTTTATTGCCCTGTACAGCTGCTCCCTATTGGCTAGATAAGCCCACCAATCTGGTGCTTGCCCCTGATGAGAATGGACGATTAGTGTGTCGTGCCAGAGGGAACCCTAAACCCACTATCCAATGGCTGGTGAATGGGGAACCTATTGAAAGTGAGTACTGAAAGCAAGAACTGGTGCTTTTCTGACTTTAACAGTCTGAATCATAACACATTTTTGCATCTGTTTTTTTCTGCTCTTTGTATTACTTCAGGTTCACTGCCAAACCCAAACCGGCAAGTTCTTGGTGACACAATCCTGTTCCATTCAGTCCAGATAGGCAGCAGCGCAGTTCACCAATGCAACGCCTCAAATGAACATGGTTATCTATTGGCCAATGCGTTTGTCAACATCCTGGGTAAGAAACGATGGAGTCAATCATTTAAAAAGTTCAAAGAGGTCACAAGATTGTGATATGTTAATGTTGTTTTCTTCTTAGACATGGCACCACGGATGCTAGGTCCAAAGAACCAGCTGATCAAAGTCATTGAAAACAACAGGACCTTCCTTGACTGCCCTTTCTTTGGCTCACCGTTCCCTATACTGCGCTGGTGAGCTTACATTTCATTGTTTGAAAAGATAAATATAGGCTATGTTAAAAAATTTGGGGTCTGTAAGATTTTTTAAAGGTTTTCAAAGAAGTCTCATGCTCACCAAGGCTGCATTTATATAATAAAAAAATACCTAGTAATATTATGAAAAATTATTACAGTTTTAAATATCTGTTTTCCATACATATTTTTAAATGTATTTTATTGCTGCGAAGGCAAAGCTGAATTTTCAGCATCATTACTCCAGTCTTCAGTGTCACATGATTCTTCAGAAATCATTCTAATATGCTAAATTTGCTGCTCAAGAAACATTTTTTATTATTATCAATGTTGAAAACAGATTTGCTGCTTTATATTTTTGCGGAAACTGTGACATTTTTCATTGTCTTCACTGTAACTTTTGATTAATTTAATGCATGTTTACTGAACAATATTAATTTCTTAAAAAAAAAAAAAAAAAGCTTACTGACCACAAACGTTTGTGTATTAGAATAAAAATGACATGAATATATTGTACATGTGTGTTCAGGTTCAAGAATGGCCTAGGCAGTGGTCTGGATGGTGGTCAGTACAAGTTGTACCACAACGGTACTTTGGAGATTAAACAAGCCCGGCCAGAAGACCAAGGCACCTACACTTGTGTTGCCAGTAACATTCTGGGCAAGATGGAGAATCAGGTGCGCCTGGAGGTTAAAGGTGAGACCAGAAGCATTAATCACTAAATCTCTCTTGTTTTTTCATTTTTTTGAAGAGAACACATTACATTATTGTTCATGAATGCCTTAATTTACTCTCTCTCTCTCTGTGTGTGTGTGTGTGTGTGTGTGTGTGTGTGTGTGTGTGTGTGTGTGTGTGTGTGTGTGTGTGTGTGTGTGTGTGTGTGTGTTGTGCTGCATTTCAGAGCCCACAAGAATAGTGCGGGCACCTGAACATGTCACACAGGCCAAAGGAACCACGGTTCGCTTTGATTGTCGAGTTAAACATGATCCTTCCCTTCTTGCTACGGTCACATGGCTAAAAGATGACAAGCCTCTAAGCTTTAACTGGATGTAATGTCATATAACAATACATACACAATATAATCATAATTAGATTGTGTGCTATTTTTTACTGTTATATACCAAATTTACTTTCAGAATTACTTCTTCTGAGTTCAACTTCTGAATAAGTTCAAATCTGTGCACTACTGATTTATTTTTTAAATGTCTTACAGTAAAACAGTAATATTTTGAAATATTAATACAGTTTCAAAGAATTCTGTATTTTAAAATGTAATTCATTCCTTTGATGGCCAAGCTGAATTTTCAGCATCATTACTCCAGTCGTCAGTGTCACATGATCCTCCAGAAATCATTTTAATATACTGATCTGGTGCTTAATAAACATTTTTCATCAACATGAAAACAGATCTGATGCCTAATATTTTGTAGAAACTGTAAGATTTTTTTCAGAATTCTTTGATGAGTAGAAAGTTCAAAAGAACAGCATTTATTTGTAATAATGTTTTTAACAATCAAAAGGGCCTTACTGTCACTGTGGTTTAATTGAATGCACCCTTGCTAAATAAAAGTTTAAATTTCTTTCAAAAAAAGCCTTTTGAATGGTAGTGTATGTCCTGTACTTGACGTCTAATTCCTGTATGTTTTAGTGGCCGGTTCAGAAAGGATGGTGAGACCTTAAGTATTTACAATGTCAATCCAGAAGATGCAGGTACCTACACATGCACTGCCAAAACTGAGATAGATGAGAACTCTGCCTCAGCTCGCCTTACAGTTACAGGTACACATTCACATTCATCCTACAATACATCGTCCTCCTTTATGCACCTTTCTCATGTTGCTAATGGCTAGTAACATATTTCATAATAGATATTAAGTGGATATGGACATGTAGGACAGTCACATGTCATATCCAGAGGATAATAATAAAGCAAAAGGCCCCAAGAAGCCGTGGTTTACAGTGAACGTATTACAGCTAAGGGGCGTTGTTAGGCATGACGCGGAGTTAGCTATTCTAAATTCACTATAAACCACGGCTTCATGGGGCTTATTGCTTTTATAAAACGTTGTTCCATATACATTTTCACAGAATAAAAAAAGCTAATAAAATGTAATGATATTAATAAAAACATTCTTCCGCCAAACAATGTAGTTCCTCAGAAATAGTTGTGGTTGCAACAAAGTGGTTGTCAAGCAACTCACAGACGCAGAAACAAAGAGTTGTATGTTTGTAGAGTAATTTACAACAGCTTCGGACATGGCTCAACCAGTCAGAATCAAGGACTGGAACTATCCGTTTTATAAATTGCCTTTTTCCCTTTTATAACTTATAGATCTGTGCTCTTAACAGCACTTCCCACAGCTTCATAGTTTGCTTGCATATTACTACTGTTGTGCTTCCTTTTTTAGCTATACTGCTTTTTTCTGATATTTATCTACTAATAGCCACACTAACCCTTGACCTCTGACCTTTGACCTTTACCTCATAGAGGATGACATCTCGTCTGCCTCAAATCGTAGTGCCTTTGCAGGTAATGCATCTAGTACAGTTATTTCTAATGTCCAATTAAAGCCTCTAACAATCAATCTCTGTTTTTAATTCTTACTCTAGCATTCTGAGAATAATTGTATAAGTTAACATGGTTGATTAGTATATTGTTCTCTTGCAGGTCGACCCGACCCCCCTCAGGATCTTGAGCTCTCGGACCCTTCAGCACGTAGCGTTAGACTCACCTGGGTGCCTGGGAATGAAAACAACAGTCCTGTTACACGTAAGTTTAGAGTATAGAGTCTTATGTCTTCAGTGAATGAACTTTGTCTTCACTACTTTGTCGATGCTCTTGTGTGTCTTTATGTTTTAAAGACACAGGTCACATTGATCAGACAAGTAAATATGACCTATTAAAAAACATCCAGTTGTCACATCTGACATCAACCGGTGTAATAATGTTATCCTTAAAATAAATGCCAATACAGTAAGTCTTTTTGGTGAATAGAATCAAATGAATTTAGTAATTTAATTCTTTTTTAGATTGACACCCAGCCATTTTACCTGAAGATCATTTTATCTTCAATATCATGCACCTTTGAGTTTCCTTCTCTGTGTAGGTTTATTGACAAACAGCAGGAATTAATGCTTTTAAACTCTTTATTTATAGAGACTTTGTAATTTTCCCATAGTGTCTTCTTGCATTACTACAGATTTCCTTGTCCAGTTTGAAGAGGACAGGTGGGAGCCTGGGAAGTGGCAAAACCTGTCTATATTTGATGGCAACCTAAACTCAGTTAACCTGCAACTGTCACCCTTTGTCAACTACCAGTTCAGAGTGATTGCAATCAATGCTGTGGGCCAGAGTCAACCCAGCCTTCCCTCTGCCCGCTATCAGACCAGCGGAGCCTGTAAGAGATCAGCGATATCCATAAGCCCTGACAGAAATGCGTTTGAGAGTGTGCTTAAAAAATTATTTAGTAACATATAATGATTTGTTTCAGCTCCTGATGTTGTGCCGAGTGGTCTTAAAGGCTGGGGAAGCAAGAAGAACAACATGGAGATCACATGGCAGGTAAAATGAACCATGTTTATTGAAGTACCTCAAAAAACAACAAAAAAAACAGACGGACGGATGTGACGGTTAGTGAGCTAACCTATCTGTACATTTTATAGGCACTTAAGAACACAGAAAGGAATGGGCCAAACCTGCGATACATGGTCTCATGGAGAAGGAAGGACACTGAGGAAGAGTGGAATAACACAACCACAACCAGAACGAAGCACATTATTCATAATACAGACACCTATGTCCCGTATGAGATCAAAATAAATGCCATCAATGATTTTGGACACAGCCCTGAGTCAAACATAGTCATTGGTTATTCTGGGGAAGACAGTGAGTACTAACATTTCATATTTAATGACACTTTTATAGTCTTTTCTGGTTTCTTTTGTACTTAAATTGTTTTTTCCCCATCAGAACCATCCGCTGCACCAACAGAACTCAGGGTGTCGAAGATCAACAGCACCAAAGTAAATGTACACTGGGTGCCTGTGGACCCCAGCACTGTGAACGGAGAGTTTAAAGAGTACAAGGTGGGTGACCAAATATTTGCCTGACACAAAAACATTTTACTTATTTGCTACCATTGCTAATTCAGTATTCATATCATATTTTCAGTTGTACTACTGGCGGGAGGCCAGCCTCATGAAGGGCCTGAAAGTGAACAAGACAAAGTTGCATAAAGGCTTCTTCACCACGGCAGAACAGCCCTCTGGCATCCTGACAGAGCTTTTTCCGTATAGCAAATACAAGATATACATGGTGGTGGCTAATAGAGAATATGAGGGACCACAAAGCAACACTGTGGAGTTCTACACCAAGGAGGGAGGTAGGATACTGTGCTTTAGTGGTGGAGCATTAGCTACGATGAGGCGTCAAATATGTGACGTTTGTATCCAAAATCAGAATATGAACAGCTTTAATAATCCTTTCATAGAGCCAGGGGCTCCAAAGTACTTTAGGATTCAGAGGCACACAGACGTGGTTCACCTGAAGTGGGACAAGCCTCTAGAGCCGAACGGTGTCCTGATAGGATACACACTTCAATACCACACAGGTGAGCCTACCGTACACAAAAAGAAACCTCCAAAATGAGTGTGTAAACATTCAAGTCCTCATGTGAAGTTCGTATTTACAAGTTGGGAAGTCATAATTACACAAATAATTTTGGTCAGAGCAAGATGCAAGTATACCTTTCCTACAAAAAAATACAGCAAGATTTTTAACTCTGCTTTTTCAAAATGAATAAGGAATGTGCATCAGGTGTTTTTGCTTTGTTTTTATTCAGTGTATAAAAATACAATGCTATCATTTTGTTATACCTGCAACCTAGCTAGTTTTATTGTAAATGAAAAAAATTATAATTTCATAAATTTTGACATATTTACAATCAATACAGACGCTGCATCCAAGTTTTCTGACTGAGACGGCCACAACTTTTCCACAAATATCGTAATTACGTGTTCCAAGCACACAAATGACTGAGAAAAGTTGTATTTACGAGTGGAAAACTCATAATTCTAGATCATGCACATGTTGTTTATGCTTATTTGAAACATGGCAGAAACATGGATCTATAATACAGATTATATTATGTTATGTATCTATGTATGTATCTCTATATACTGTTGCGAGGGAAGCAAGTCTGTAGTGAATGCTGCAAAGTTAATCACTCAACTTTAATGCTTTATTTTATATAAAAATGCAATGTATAAATAGTGATAGAAAGTGTTATGTTTCCATTTTAAATGCTTGACACTTTGTAATAACATATGCCCGACTTGGAGTTACGAGTTTACCAGATGCACTTGAAAGCAACAAAAAAAAATCAAGTTTCCCACTCATAATTATGACTTTGTGGTGGCGTTCATGTGCAATCAACTCACAAATGCAATCTTTTCAACATGACTTGAATGCACCATAAGCACTTGAATTTTGCACAATGCAAGCAATGCTGAAATGTTCTTCATGAAGTGTAAAAATCTAGCACACTTATTCATTCTGTTCTGCTTGTGCGATTCCAGTGAATGGGACACAGGCGGGAGAGAGGAAGGTCCAGAGTTTTCCAGCCAACGTGACAGAGTACCTCATGAATCTGCCTAACCGCTTCACACGGTTCAAGTTCTACCTTGCAGCTCGCACACAGGTCGGAGCAGGAGAAGTGTACGCTGTGGAGTCACCACATTTCACTAATGAAGGTCAGCAAGCGAGTCGTCTCACTCTGTGTTCTGTAAGCTGTTCGTGAATCTGAGAGCAGAATCATTGGATGTTCCTGTCTGTGCTCCACCCTGTCGTTCTCTTTCGTTCTAATAATACTTTTCTGTCTCCTTCACACTGTTGTTTCTCGATGCTTTGTGGTGTCTGTTTCTCTCGTAACGGCTTGATTTCTTCTTTGTTTTCTTTGACTTGCTCTCACCTGTCTCCCCTCTTCTCCTCCTGTCTTTCCTGTGGTGTTGACTGAAGGCACCCCAGATACCGACTCTACAGTTGTAGGTAATGGGGGAATAGACTGCCTGCCAGACTACCTGCCTGTCTAACTCCTGCCTTGCTCTGTCTCTGCTTCAGCCTCTGTCTGTCTTTCTCTCAAATTCTGTCTGTCCGCTTTTTAAATACGTAACATTGCAGCTGAGTACTTAAAGTCAATGTCACACTTAAGAATCCTACACTGAAAAAAAAAATTGGTGTAGAAACAATTTTGTCTAACAATTTTGACAAATAATTGCACAGAATCGGCAAGAAACTCTTTAAATTAAACATAACATTTTGAAGTACACGGACTGAAACGGTACTTCTTGTATAATGTACTCAAATAATATTTGTTTAGTTTACAATTTAAAAAAAAAATCATTTTGCAACACAAAAAAACCCCACATATTGTACGCATTTAAACTGTTTTTGTTGTGTGTTTAATTAAAGGTGAAGTGGATAGGTTGACCAAAAGTCATGGTAATTTGTTTGGTTCCCTTTAGGAATTGCACACTTCACCTTTATCTCTTATATTTTCCCTGATGAAAAACGCTGCTCAGCTGCACTGTCAATAAATGCCTGTCCCTATCCATCTCTTTGTCGGTCTGCTATCATCCATGTCACTGTGTGCTTTCAGGGATGGGCTCTTGCACTTTTGTGCAAGAAAAAGTCACTGAATCTGCTCTCAGTGTAGCTGATTAGAGTTTTACCTCTTTAAGATGCTGGTAAGATGCCATTGTGCCTGAATCGGCACACAAATAAGAAAGTCATATGTGGCTCTGATGTAATTTGTGATTTATTGACTGACACCTAATCCCTGATGGCACCTTGCTACTTTAGCCCTGACATCACTTCCTATCACATGCCTTGCTTGGCATATCCTAGCATGCTCCTATCATCGTTTTAGTTTCAAATCTAGCCAGGAGCCAGACTGAACCACTTTGTTGTTAGAGTTTGGAAAACGGAGACCTCTAGTGGTAATGCTTGATACAGTTGCTTGTTTTAGGGGAAGGGAAGTTAATGTTCAGATGATAGAAGGAAAAAAACACAAATATTGTATGGACATTTGTGAAGAGAATACTGTTATGGAAGCGAATCACTATGGCAAGCCAATTTATGTTGTTGATACCAATGGTTAAACTGTACAGTAATTAAATGCTTTGGATGAAAATTGTGTTAATGGCACTAAAATCGAAAATAGAAGTTGCAAATAGTCAGAGAGGAGCAGTCTGTGTGTTATTTGTGTAAATTACTACTTTTCCGTCACCTCTTTCAAAGTGGATGCAAATGATGCAAAATTATGATTATGATTATGAAATTATGATTAATACCCCAAAATGTAAAATCGTGCAAATTATGCTGTGCAAAGCTTACAACAACAAAAAATGCCTGTGTTGAAAGGAAATTAAATTTTTCATGCTAATGTATGGATGAGCTGCTTATGGAACTTTAGTAATGGAGTGATGATGTTTGGCTGTGAAACCATCCATGACAAAAATGGCATAATAGTAAGTTAGTGTATTAGCAAAGTAATTATGAGCGGTTTTCTAGTGTGTCTCAAGTAACTCCATCAAAGTTTATATGTAGCTTGTGCATGTGCAGGCCAAATGCCAAGCATGAAAGTTAGTATTAGATAAGACAAAGCTGCAGATAGTAAGTGTTGTGCTGCTTAATTATTTAAAAGAGGGAATCAGCTCTCCATTATTCACAAACTGTTGCTTTGGCAATGCACGCCTCTGCTTGTGCCACCTTCATCCAGATGGAGACATACAGGTAAGAGTGCACTAAGTTACGGCTGATTGGCTGTGTTGATCTTAAACCACATCCCTGTGCAAAAGTCTCACTTCCATTAGCATGTCTTGGTCTGGCAAAACTTAATGTCACCAAGCGCTCCGGGACTCTCTGACACTCTCTGTCTGACTTAACCTTTGCCAGCATATTTATGGATTGCTCTCACTTTTTAGTTGAGTTTGGAAACTGCTTATATAGTTTTTGTTATGGACTCAATTAATGGTACTCAAAGCAGCGTTTGTTTCCAAAGTAAAAGCAAGCAAAGATGTACAATTATATATTTCATTATGAATCTCTATCTTGGATAATGATTCTATCCACTGTGTGTTCTAATGGATTTCCACACATTTTTTCTTTTTGTATTGACAGCTCTGCAAAGTTTGTTTGTTAAAACCCATTAGATGTGATTTTCTATTTTCGGGCAATAAAGACATTTAAATATATATTTATAACTTAAATTAAATTAAATTTACATTTATAATTTTTAAAAGATTTCCATTTTAAATAATTTTCTATTTATCAAAGAATCATGAAAAATATGTATCATGGTTTCCACAAAAATATTAAGCAGCACAACTGTTTACAACAGATAACTGATGATAATTATAGAATTTCTTGAGCACCAAATCAGCATATGATCCTGATTTCTGAAAGATCATGAGACACTGAAGACTGTAGCAATGGCTTCTGAAAATGTACTGTTGCTATCACAGGAGTAAATTGCATTTTACAACACATGAAAACATATTTAAAAATTTTTTAAATAATTATTTAAAAGCTACCGAGCCCAAACTTTTGTACTGTAGTGTATATCCAAATAACTTTCAATAGAGAACTGGAAAAAAAACATCTATTCTCTAGAATCACTTTATAATATTAGGAGAGACAAAAATGTTTCACAAGATGCATCTATTAAAAAGAGTGTTGTTGTTTTGTTTTGTTTTAGTTTTTTTAAAAGGGGAGTATTTGATGATGCGGTTAAACCCAGCTTTACTCAGGTTCCATTTTCATCAGATAGCTCTTCATGGAGAGAGCGCCCTGTGCTCTGATGTTATTATCAGGATGGGTAATTCAAATCCAGATCCGCAGTTCTCGCCGCTAATGTGTTTTTGATAAAGGATGGCTGTCAAATTACTCCTATACCATGTTGCTGAAAATCAGAGAGATTTATTAGGTTCTCCATTTGGTGTTAGTATGTTCAGCTGTTCTCCAGGCTCGATAAATCATGCAGGAGGAGAACAAGCTTCTTAATGTGTAAAATTATCTGTGGGAGTTGATTTCTGCCATTCTTGCTTACGAGTATATCATTACAAAACTTAAGCATTTTATTCTGTACCTCTCTTTTTCTCCTCCCTCCTCTCTGTGTGTGTGTTTGTTTGTTAACAGCCTACAAGGAGCAGGAAGACATTGCTACTCAGGGCTGGTTCATTGGGCTGATGTGTGCCGTCGCTCTATTGGTTCTCATCCTGCTCATTGTTTGTTTCATCAAGAGGAGTCGTGGAGGAAAATATGCAGGTAAAATGCAGCAAATACACAGCCACATTAACCCAGGGTTATTTATTTATATGTAAATTATCCTTTTTTATCAACTGTTTTATGTATTGCAATACATAAATGCATTTTTTTTTACCAGTGAGAGACAAGAAAGACCTCCCCTTAGATCCTGTTGACCATAAAGACCAAGATGGTTCATTCGATTATCAGTAAGTTTGCACTTTTGATCACTTCTACCATAAAAGTAAGCCGTTTTTTCCATAAACAGCTATTTGGGTTCATATGAAGGGAAAGGGCTTTCAATAATCTTACTTTAGAACTGTTTATATGTGCTCTCTGCTACTTATGATATTGAACCTGTTGATGAATAACTTTGTTTTACCTGTTACAGGTCCTGAACTTAGCTCTCACCCTGTAGAGGGGAATATGCCTTTTTAATTTTAATAAAAAATAACAACTAACCATGTAAACCAAACAAATTTTAATTAACAACTTACATAAACACCCCCAAAAACATTTGTTGATGAGGCTTTCATATTACCTAAACACAAAATAAGCCTGCTGCGGTTAATAGATCTCAGTTCAGCTGGAAAACAATGCACCGATTTCTCAGGAAACTGTGGTTGCCATGGAGTTAAAAACTCTCCAGTGGGCATCTTATCACCATCTTCACCAACATCAGCTTCTTTAAATGAGTCCTCCCTGAACAGTTCTACCTCTGCTCTCTAAACCAGACAGATCTCATAACTTCACACCCTGAAGTCCTATAGTGGCAGGAAAAAATTCTCTCAGAGTTGCACACTGGCCCAACAAACTCCAACTTCCAGCACTTGACAATCTTACTTTAGTATTATTAATACACTATTATAGTGTTTATTAATATTTTTAATAATAATATGAACTTCCATTTTTATACTTTAAGCTTTCATTTGAATTTAGCAGTTATTTATGTTATTTTATGTGCTTTTTTTCAAGTTTAATAATATTGTACTTAATCTTATTTCAGTTAGTTACCATTGCAACATTTCTGTTTTAGAGATTTATTTAGAGCGGACAGGAAGTGAAGTGGGAGAAAAAGAGAGGGCTGGTTTGGGAAATGTCGTTATTCGAACTCAGGACGCCCATAACGCAACAACATTATATGTCGGCGCACTTGACCACTAGGCTATCGGCACCAAAACCATTACAACATTTATAATTTTCAAAGTTTTTATTCTAACATTTATATTTATTTTATTTCAGCTGTTTTGCAATCAAAGAAAACTATTTAGAATCATTTTAGCTTTAGTTAACTAGCACTGGCACTTGATGGCTTTTGTTCGGATCAGTGTGTTACCGTGTTGGCATTTGTTAGGGCAGTGTGAACCTTAACAAACAAACTTTTTTCTACCTGTCATCCTTAATTTATTTTCAAGGTTTTGTTGTGTAAGCCCACATCTTTCAAGATGGTGTGGATATTACAACTTTGGTACAAAGAGTAAAGGAAAGTGTCGGTGAGGGCTTTAGGCAGACGTCATACATCTGAACCAATATCTCTAGCTCGATAAGCTAATAATTGTCATGTTACTTATGCAATGTTGAGAATAAACTATAGCAACACTTCAAACTTAGCATTTTCAGTTGGATGACAAATGTAAATAGTTTAATATTGTTAGCTAGTATAGCAAGCTAAACACAAGCTGTGTCCGAAATCGCTCACTCGATCACTCATTCACTCATTCACTAACTCCTAAATAGCGAATGGCAGTTAAGTGCACTATATTAGCAAGGAGTGACAAAATTAAGTGAGTGAATTCACGGTGAATTTTGGGAAATAGTGTTCTAGCCAGTGTATGTGAGCTCAAAGAGTGCATTGTAGGTACAGTGGTGGCCAAAATAGAAGCGTACTGTTTTTATCCCCTTTTGACTTTAATATTTGGTATGTCCACCTTTTGCAGAAATTGCAGCAGCACATCTCTGCATAGTGTCAGTATATTACCTGAGAACTTCAACACTAATGTTTTCCCATGTCTTCTGCAACAAGCCAAAAACTTTCCTTTGAATGTCCAATAGATCTGTCCAGTTTATTTTCTAACTCACCCCAAATTTGCTCGATGGGGTTGAGGTCCGGACTTTGAGGGGCCAGTCCATCATTTTCAATGTTCAGCAGATTCCTTCCATTGCAGGAAGTTCTGGCAATATTTTGTCTTATGGGTATTGTAATGGCCAATTCAACAAAACAACTGAAACCTCTTAAATATGCCAAGTGTTCTAACAAGTTTGGCCACTGCTGTATAAACGACTGAAGTTGTTCACTTACAATTACAAATGTGCACTATATAGGCTACAGGGAGCATTTTCAGATACAGTAATAGCTTCTCCAACACTGCACCTAAGCTACATTTGACATTTCGGTAGAAATGTAACATGGATTTGTAGTTTGATTTGGTGTAATCCTCTTAACAACTAATTGAAAAACATGCTCTAACCATTTGGACTAAAGCATTTTTAATAAAACCACTTATTAACAGCTATGTAATATTAAATGGTTCGCCTTTTGTCAAAGCTAATTCACTTTAAGGAGATCAAGACCACAGATCTTCAGTAACTGATTAGATTAGTAATGTTAAGCTGAGCCCTCTCTTTCTACTTTCTAACATCTCTCTCCATCTAACATGTGAATGATGTGGTCAACTCCATCTTCATGATCCCTTTTCTTCCCCCTCCTCTTTCAAATTGGCGGCTGGGTTGTTAAGGAACGAGAACAGGTATTTGGTTTCAGCACATCATCTCAGCCTGAGCATGTCATTGGTTAGCCTACATGTGGATGACAGAACGGGAACTAAAGCTGCTGTCTAATCAATGTTTGAGCTCTATAAAAAAGGTGTTAAACTCATTGGTCCCTTTATTGTGGATGTAATCCAGCAATTTTATGAAAGCTAACACACCGTGTCCTAACCAAACACGATGCAATAAAGCAGCCAGGGTGAAAAGCCAGCTACAATCAGCTCAGGTGTGGATAGAGACAGGATGTTTTCAGGGTTTTACATAAAACATGAACATACGTCCTCTTTTTTCCCAACTATGTCCTGGCTGGGATCTCTAAATTGCCTAACATGTCTAGGTTTAGGCTTCGTTTTCCTCTTGACTGGCTCTCTACAGTTCTCATACATTAAAGTGCCCCTATTATGGGTTATGAAAGGTTCATATTTTGGTTTTGGGAGTCCCCAACAACAGGTTGACATGCATGCAAGGTCAAAGAACACATTCATTGTCTTATAATATGCATTTATTTTTACCTTATTTGCTCAACGACTCCGAAACGATTCGCTCAGCGATTCATTTTTCCAAACCCCTCCTTTGAGTGACGCTACTCTGCGGTGATTGGTCCGATGACCCAGTCTGGTTGTACACCAACGTATTGCTCTATTCTTTATCATAACTCCAAGTAATAACAACGACAAACATTCACTATTCATCGACACATTTTTAGACAATTGTGAGCGATCAGATGTTGCTGTTAGCCAGAGTCAGAAACCTAATGTTACAAGCTGCGCGGAGCAAACACAACACACATAAACCATATTTATTTGCAAGCATATGTATTTTGCATGCTACAGAGAACATGAAAGCAACAATTTTTAATCACACTTACAGGTTGTGATTCGCAGGCGGAAGAAGCTGGTCCAAGTAAACTGGTTATTGATCCTTCCTTCAATAACAACTGGCATGCAAATCCCACGTTGTACGCATATAGGTTGCTGTTGCAGTCATCAGTAAAATGACGGACAAGGTTGGGCCTATACTGCTGTGGTATTGCTGGAAAAATGAACTTTAACCATTGATTCTTCACAGCCTCGTCCTTTGGCAGTGAAAAAAAATTAAAATACGGATTTACAATTGCTCGCTACAGTGTTTGAGGGATGGGGGGTTCAAGTTTTCCCAGGTCTGCGGGCGCAACAAGTGGGCGGGCAGTATGCTAATGTTTCATGTTGACGTCAACATGAAACGGCTTGGGATTTGTTTTAAAAACGACTCATTTCAATGACTCCAAGTCAACTCTTTCTTTTGAGAGACAATAACTTTATACATGGTGCACTTTCAGATTTAAAACTTTGCAGGATGTTTTCATTCACTTAGAGCTGTGTTTCACACTGCATGAAAGGTAATTTTCAAAAATCCATAATAGGGGCACTTTAAATGTATGCATATTTGCATTGGTTTGATCATTCTATGTACTGTAGATCCCACCTTCTCACAGGCCACCATTGGTTGATTATGTACAATGCTTGCACGCTATTGGGCAAACTACTTTTCAGTCATTACCTTCAACAAGTATGATATCAATAAGAAAACACAGACAAAACACAGACATTTTATGCAATTTAGAAATCCCATCTAATACATGTTCGGGAAACAAAGAAAACATATGGTCACCATAAACATAATGTAACATGGCTGTGCTTTTTAAGAAGAGCAAACTGCTTGTCACTTGAAACTTGCCTGTTTAGGACACGGTGCTGTAAACACTTACAGCACCACTTAAAACACTTATCGCATGGTTCATAAAAAGCCGTTCATCCCTGAGAGTGAATTGGAATTTGTATTAAAAGCTTTGGCCTGAAATAAAATGTCAAGTACTGAAGCATTTTATTCCCTCTTAAAATTATTTTGACTCTCCTATAAATAAAATGATAATAATATTTTTATTGTTTATTGAATAATTTTTTCATTGTAAGGTTAATATTTTAAAAGCTAGTACTGTAATGTCAAGGTTAATTTGTCAAAAAGGAACCAAGGACACGTAGATTCAATGACAGCATGAAACGTGAAAATGATTCTGCTTTGTTTAGAGGAAACTCGGTTGAACATATATTTGCATGCAAGGAGTTTGCTAAGAAAATGTATGTTTTTTCACTTCATTGAGTCTATGATGCCCTTTGGCTTTCAGAATTTATTATGCATTTCCTACAATCTGAGAGGAGAGTCTGCTGGAAATCAGAGCCCTTGGGTTTTGTCAGTGATCTGTTTTCGATAGAATGCCACATCTAGAAAATAAGCAAAAAGCTAATGACAGATTATTTGCTGAGGGCTGTTTATAATTATGATGTTCACTGCATCATTTTCTTTTTCCTCTTATTTTTCTTTTAAGTGCCTCTTTGATGACACAAATGTTTTGTTTTATTCATTTTTTCTCACTCTTTCTCCCTTAATCATTTTTTATTCTTGGGTGTTTTCCATTCCTGTTGGTCCAATGAAGGTCTCTTGAAAGGGAAAGGTATGAAAAGAGCGGTATTAATTTCACCTGCCTTTGGACTATTAATCAAGAACTAAAGCTTTTTTCTGCCTTGCATTTTAATCGATTCATACATGTCCTTCTCCTTTAGTATTGATAAATGACTGAAAGCATAGGATACATTAAAAAAAATTTCCATGACACATTTTTTTCCCTGTCATTCTAACATGACTCATAATTCATGCTTCAAAATTGATGTTGTTAGAATATAGCAATTTACCAAATCTGTAAATTTAATAACTTTATTTATAGGGCTGTCAATTTAAAGGAATGATTTACCCCAAAATTAATATTTGCTGAAAATATACTCACCCGCACATCATCCAAGATGTAGAAGAATTTGTTTCTTCATCAGAACAGATTTGTAGGAATTTAGCATTGCAGCACGCCAATGGATTCTCTGCAGTGATTGGGTGCCGTCAGAATGAGAGTCCAAACAGCTAGAAAAAAAATCACAATAATCCACACTGAACGTGTCTGTCAATTAACATCTAGTAAAGTGGAAAGCTGGTTGAAGAACTGGAATCGTATGAATTACTTGTGGATTAGTGCAATGGTTTTCAGTTGTTTTGACTCGCATTCTGACGGCACCCATTCATTGCAGAGGATCTATTGATTTGACTAATCGGCTTAATGTCATGTTGACAGCCCTATTTGTTCATTCATTCATTAATTCATTTATTTGCTTTTAAAATATTTTAGAAAAATTAGGCTACCTGATCTCATGATGAAAACGTACCTGTGGGAATTTTTTCGTCCAGACATGAAATAAGGTTACGTACCAATAAGTACATGTCACTGCAGTTTCCAACAGAAATTAACACTAGAGGCGGTAAAACAGCAAGCACTTGTAATCGTTTTCATACACAGTTATGATTACAGCTTCATATGTTACGCTTTCCGGACGTAGGCCTAATAATCTTGCTCGGTAGCTCAGCTGGACATAAGATGCGGAATCCTTGGGTGCAAATCCCGTGAAAAACATGACTCACGATGAAAGAGCTGAAAGATGAGGGATCGTAAAACAAGCTAAAACGGCATGCTGCTGATTGCGTTTTTACGTCACATTCACGTTTGTTCATACCATTCGGGTAGGTTTAGGTGTAGTGCAGGTGGCACTATATTGTAAAACGTCACCTAGCATTAGAGTTATAGTGCCACTCAATGGACATTTCAAATCATAACTGCAGTGACACGTACAAAACCAACGTCGAATAAAATGTATCCTTTTGTACGTTCATCTGTTCCCGGGGGGAAAAAAACAAACACTTTTAGTGCCACTCAGTGGACATTTCACATCAAATATGTATCGAAATATACATGACGGTACGTATTTCGCGTCTTGCGAAATAGTTCCCACAGGTACAATTGCAATTAAGTGTATGCAACAAGCCGTAATTCATGCTAAATTTTGCATCACATCATCACAGTTTTCATATATCCTGTCAAAAATGATGTACAATACGAATACAGATTGCATTCGCTCATTGAAAATCAGTTTTTCCACTGTTTGAGGTGAAAAGCAGGCGATACTGTGGGTGTGAGGACTGATCGATTAAATCAAAAACCCATTCTCTTTATTCCCTGAACACTTGCTGGTGTTGAGAGAGTGTTTGGTGGGGAAAAAGCATTTCCTGAATGTGCCTTATTGAATCTAAAGATAAATAACTAAACAGCCATGATTTTCCAGTTGTCATGGTGCATGCACAGAACCGTGTCATCTGGTAATATCCATTTGATGCAGAATTGCTCCTTGTTTATAGAGAGGATATATGCAGTTGGTAAAAGCATTTTTATGACCCGTAACAATGGATAATATCATGGAGCCTGGTTGTAAACCTTGTTTTGTGAGGGGACAAAGTAGTTTATTTACAACATTTCAATTTAACAGCCCATCATTAATACAATTTACAACAAGGTCCATGGATATTACATGAAATTTAAAATGGACCTCTGTGCTAAGTCAACGATTTTTAGGATCTCATAGGTGTTGCTTTGTGGTTTTCTGTTTTCTTGGTGCTTCTCAGTTGATGTAGCCTACTGTAGGTCCCAGTTCCTCATGCATGACACTCTTACCCCCCAGCAGAGGTCCGTTTTAATAGGACTCTCATGTGTGGGCATGGACAGGACAGGGGATGAAAGATCTACCTGTGATAATATAGTGCAATGAATAATATATAGCCATGGCATCATTTATAGAATACAGAGAGCAAAGAGTTTGTCTTTGTCTTTAGTAATAAATTTGTTGTTCTTTCACCTTGGGACTTTTCTTTTCTCCTTGGCGTTTCTCAAAAGTGAGATTTGAAATGTTTTTCTCAGCATTTGTAATAGTTTTTACATGGAATAAAAAGCAAAACTGTTTTTAAAAACTCTCATTAAATTCAGATGCCACATATCTGGGAAGTAGGATTTTGGTGTTTTAATATTCTACTTTTTCTTTTTCTATATTCTTTAATATTCTGATACACTACTGTTTAAAAGTTTGGTGTCAGTAAAATAAATAAATAAAAATTAATACCGGTACTTCTAAGTGTTATTAAGCATTCATAATGTTAGAATAAATATAATCTTTTAAACTTTCTATGCAATCAAAATACCCTTAAAAAAATGTTTTCCACAACAACAAAAAAACGTTCAAACTTGATAATAATAAGAAATAATGATTTCTTAAGTGGCAAATCAGCATATTAGAATGATTTCTGAAGGATCATGTGACACTGAAGACTGGAGTAATGGCTGCTGAAAATGAATTTAAAATATATTCTATTATGAAGTAATTTGTAAGTTGCTTGTGTTTAAGTAATCAGAATACATGCCTGCTTTTAAATGGTTGTCTAACATGCTTTTGGAGTCACAACATCCCCCAAATTAAGGGTGCTACTGTAACAGGTCCATGCTATCCAGTCAAACCATGTTCTAACTCTTTTTCTCTTTCTCCCAACAGCAGTGACGAAGACAACAAGCCATTACAAGGCAGCCAAACATCCCTAGACGGGAACGTAAAAGAGAGCGACGACAGTCTGGTGGATTATGGTGAAGGAGGAGACGGCCAGTTCAACGAGGACGGCTCTTTCATAGGCCAGTACACAGTTAAGAAGGACAAAGAGGAGACGGAAGGAAACGAGAGCTCAGAAGCCACGTCACCCGTTAATGCCATCTACTCTCTAGCATAGCACCCTAACCTGAGCACGGTGCCCCCAGCGGGCCGGAGGGTGCCACTACACACGTAAAAATACATATATATACATACAGAGAGAATTACAAGTATTCACATACAACGCACTGGCGTGCATGATCCTTCTAAACAAGGGATGGGGAAAGGCAGGTGAGCCAAAAACGGTGTTCAGAAACCTTTCTTTAAGGTATCCCCATGCCCCACACAGACTTTAGTGTGCCTTTAGGGCGACGGGGTGGACTTTTGAGCTTTTCATGTGGCTTATGCTCTTCTTTTTTATTTTGTAAATCTTTAATCTGCCCCTTCCTCCTCCTCCTAACTGTAGCTAGCATCAAAGAAACGGAGATACAAGCACCAGACCTGTGACATATCAACTGTGGGTCGACTCAACTGCAGAACGTCGGCAAATACGTTTATCATATTGATATTTCCGCAGTGAATGATCCTTTTTTTCCTCCACCGCAAATAGATGCATCTAAAAACATGAATCCTCTAGACAGTGCTGGCACGGTTTGATGTGCTTTATAAACTATGCACTATGTATTATCATTATCGTGCTTTTGGGTTAAAATTGGACGTTAGAATCTCATGTTTTCTTTTGTATGTTGACTTTCGCAACAAAAAAAAACATCCAGTTCTGACTGTATACAGTATGCGACAGGACTGATATCATGCTTTCATTTGCCATTGCTTTGTTAATATATTTTTACTGGCTGCAACTATAAAACGCCACCAATATTTATCGGCCGAGGTTACATGGCATCACTTGTAAATGAAGAAAAAAAGACAACATTTTGAAGCATGGTAGTATTTTAGCTCAAAGGACAATGGAGAGGTAATATGAAGAGTTAAATACACACTTTTTTAATAAGACTTGACGATGACGATGACGATGATGATCACGTTTGTTTTTCTTGATTTCTTTTTTTAAATCAGCTTGGTGAAGATTTCGGTGTCGGAATAAGTTTCTTCGAGGAGTCTAAAAAAGTTTGGGGTGCATCAATACATAAGTGGGTTGTCATATGAGGATTTCTAGACATGAATAACTCAACATAGACATACCGAGTTGGTAAAGAGAAGTGTACATATTGTTTGGGGTTGATCCAGTGTTGATTCTCTTTGTCGGGAGAGCAGACATGAAGACATGCCACTGTAACTGTAGTGCCGCTCTCATACTACTGTACTACCATTACTTTATCTTCTGCACTACTATGGTTCAAAAGTCTGAGGATCTGGGATTTTTAAATTTGCACCTGGAAATAAACAACACTTTAAGATTTTGAAAAATTGAAAACTAAAAATGTAGATATTTAAAGATATCAAAGTTGACAATGTTATGGATATATATAAATGATTTATTCATGCACATTATTATTATTATTTTTATTTTTAAATCATGTGCCATTTTGCAATCAGCTCTCAATAGACAAATCACTTTTCTTTTGTTCGAGAAGCTGAACACATTGGGGGGAAACACGATCGCAGCTTCTGTTTCATGCCAGTGTTAGGATTTAATTAAATAAGGAACCGATTCATTTGAAACATTGAGTCTGTTGTGACTCCTTACAGATGGTCAGATATTTTTCTTCCACATTCTAAGAACATCTGTCTTTGGATGCTTTAAAATCATCCTGGTTTTACCTAAACTTGCTGAGTTTATGCAGCTTTATTTCTGCTGTCATTAAAGCAAAAGGGCGACAAACCACATATATTAATTTTTACTAGTGATCTCAAACTTTTGGACCCCTCTACATATTTATCTTGATTTTATTTATAAAAATAATAGGGACTAATATATAAATAATTTATTGAGTCTGAGCTGTGCTGTTGAAATCTTCTCTGTGTAATGTAGATGAAAACATAATTCAGAGATCAAGGACCATGTTTGTGGCGATGTAAAATAGTCAAAAGTGATGTCACCGTTAAAAGGAGTATGTCTTATTTGTTAATTGTGCTGCTCTTTTTAGTATTTATGTCGTATCACTGCTATTGTGTTAATATTTTTGAATTTATTTAATGTAATTTCTACATAACATGAAATGGAAATATTGTGTATTTATTTTTTTCAAATAAGGCCTTGGTCATGATGTAAATATCCTTTTTTTTCTTCTTCTTTTTTTGAGCAGGCTTACTGTGTTACAATAAGTAAAAATAAAAATACTTTTGGTGCATCCCAAAATGCAAGACTCCACGCACAGGTTTGGATTTGGGTTCAGCCAGTGATCTTGGGTAATTTGAATGAGACTTGTTTTTGTGTCCTGTCATTTTAATCATGACATATTTCTTCACTCACGTCCCAATTTCACCCGGCTGACACCATGATGTAAATAGCAAATGCTGTAGAGCTGTACCATTGTAGCATTCTGCACTGAGGATGATACCTTTTTTGTAAACATTTGAATTGTGTTATGCAAGAGAAAATGGTTTGTCTGTTCATGTATTACTTCACCACAGGCTCCCATAATGCCTTTCACCTGTGACACGGCCCAGCTGATCATGCTCTTTGAAAGGGCTGAATATCAGGTCATAACTCCCTGATAGGGATGCATTGTCGTATACAATGCCTTCGCAGTAAAGAAATACGTGTTAATGAAATTGATTGGATCCATCAGATCTGCTTTCTCTCCAGTACCTCAAAGCAATACTGTCCTCGTTTGCCTTTCGCTCTTCTGTTTTCTGCACAGCTTTTGTAGTGACTTACATGCACAGACAACTCTTTAGATCACACGTGATGTTGTTGTAGCTTTGTGAGTCACACGGTTTAACATCAAGGCAATTCAGAGTCGGCTTAAAACTATTTTGACCAACCTTGCCTTGAAATTCTGCAGCCACTTTTATCGTCCTCACAGATTGTTCCCCTGTCCATGAGTTGTTGTGGACTAGCGATGTTCAAAAATATATACAACTATATATCTGTTGGTATATTGCTTATTCTGTCTTTCTCCCAATGTCGGATCATCTGTGTACTTAACTGGTAACATACATAATTTAGTTACCATAAAACAAAGAGTACAATAATCGCCACAGCTATTCTCATGACACGTTTGATTTTTTTCAAAACCATACATGTTGATTATTATTATCATCCTTATTTAATTTTTAGCCATTTGTGCATCGGAGCAGCTTTTTAAATCGCTGATCATGCTGGTTAACAGTGTTTATTTTTTTTCTGTAAATCTGGCCAAGGAAATGGTCAGTCATTATTGTTCAACATGTATGCGTGTATGACGAGATGCTGCAACTTAATCTGCTCGAGACGCCTTTCTTTATAGTAAAGCTGTGTCATTTTCTCAACCTTCTGATCTGTCCTTGCCTCTGATTAAAAAATTGTTTCACTTTTTAAACTCTTAATGGAAATGTGTCAAGTTTACCAACCAAACCAGTGAGTCATAAGTATCACATAAATCTTCATATAGGAAGAAATTTGGGTTTTGAGGATTTTATAGAAGGAAAATTAAAGCGTTAACTATTCAGAATTGGATTGAGAATGAATTTTGAATTGACGTAGCAAATGGGCAGATTCAGACTTGAACTAAAGTATACAATTTAAAATGTAATTGACTTTAATTTAGGTGAAAATATATAAAATTATGTAACAGCTTAACAATTATATAATTATAATTTTAATAATTGTATTATACACTGTAAAAATTTATATATATATATATATATATATGTGTGTGTGTGTGTGTGTGTGTGTGCTTGTTTGCTATTCATTTGCTATATGTATGTAGCAAACACACAGATGCATATATTTAGATAAACACACACTTATATATAACTTATATATTACTATCTATATACGTAGCAAATGAGCAGATTTAGACTTGAACTAAAGTACATGAATTAAAATGTCATTGAATTCAAAATGTTATTACATTTAATTGTTAAATATTGTATATACTTCATTTTTATATATATAAAAGGGTATATGTATAATTTATTTTTTTACATGACTTTTTATATTAGATGAAAGAAACTCAAAGAAGTGTCCTTTTTAATTTGGTTTTATAATGATATAAAATAGTACTTTAATATTTCATGTTAATTATAAAATACTATTAAATATAAATATGTAATTTATTATAGTTTGTATGAATAATTTTTTAATATGTACGTGTACATTCTAATCAGTGTCATTTATATTCAAGGTAGGTTAACACTAGATTAAAACCCATATGATGCAGATCTCTGTTCATCATTGTCTCCAGTAATCTGGCCTCTGTTCAACAGGCCAACTCATCATCCACACTACATTTGAGTGAGCCACAGCTCTCCCCATTGATTTTACCCATATCCGGATGATACAATGACTTCCACAGCTAATGTAGCCGATACGACCTCTTTCTTTTACTCAGATGGCAAGAGGCACACAAAAAACGAGTGGTGAAATAAATAACAAGCCTGTGACGATAAATCTGTTGTGGACCCTGGAAAGAGTGTACCATAGACATATTTTATTTAGGAGAGATGAATACATTTTGCCTTGACCCCCCCCTGAGACTGGTAAATATTAATGCCCTCTGCCTTCCGCCATCTGAGAGAAAAGCCAGACCTTTTAAACACCTGTCACATATATCTCTCACGGACACCATTAACTAAAATAGCCATGGCCAAAGCTTCAAGCCACCTTTCAGCAGCAGATAGGATTCTGTAATTACTTCTTTAAATAAATGGGGTTAAGTTACTCTCTTAATGCAGCTGCATTGACAAAGTGCAGTCGAATGATTCATGTGAAAGCGTGGCGCAACATTAACCTGAGATTGGTTTTCATTAAATGTGTTGTTTACTAATGAAAACAGAGTTTTGTTCGAGTTTATGTCGTTTAAGAAATAGTCAACTTAAATAATTAGCTGCAAATTCACCCTCAGGCCATCCAAGATATAGAGAAGTTTGTTTCTTCATCAGAACAGATTTGGAGAAATTTAGCAGTACATCACATGCTCTCCATTGGATCATCTGCAGTGAATGGGTGCCGTCAGAAAGTGACGTTATGAATAGAGCACAAGAGGTATTTTTGCTGGAAGCAATAGTTAAAACATCCTATGGATTTGTTTACAAACATCCAACTTTTTCCTTCAGACGTTATTGATGGACTGGAGTCATATGGATTACTTGTAGATTATTGTGTTTTTCTCAGCTGTTTGGACTCTCATTCTGACGGGACACATACACTACAGAGGATCCATTGTGAGCAATGCTAAATTTCTATAAATCTGTTCTGATGAGGAAACAAACTCATCTGCATCTTGGATGGTCTGAAAGTAAGAACATGTTCGGCAAATTTTTATTTTAAAACGAACTATCCCTTTAAGCTGACAACATTTTAAAGGGGTCATATGATGCTGCTA